ATAAAAGGCAAATAGATGCTTGGAACACCCAGAGGTGCAGAAGTGACACCTGTCTCCAACTCCTTAAACCAAACACATCTGTTCTGAAATTTCCAAGTACTTCCTATTCTAGAAGGCAACATATAATGAATGTGAGATTATACAGACCACATGAATGCTATCACGCTGATAAAACTTTCTAAATACACGAGGACTTACTTTAGCCTAAAATCATACTTTTTGGTAACAAATGCAAATATTAAGAAACATACATTTTCACTTCTCGCAGTTTTGATAATACTAGAAGGAATCAAATACTCTTAAATTCAGATGTAGTTGTCAAATTTGAAGGTTTTAGTGTGTTGTATGTGTATCCCATTCATTATGGCTTATTCAGCAAACCATGGAATAGCCAGATGTGCAAAATGAATTATTGTGACTAATATAAAACATTTTTTTTGGTTGACATTGTGATTAACTGCATCATATTTATGTTATTGTTTCTAATTGAAAAATCAATAAAATTTTATAAAAAACAACAACATAATTTTTCTAATCTGATTTCTGCTTCCCTTATTGTTACAATTTCAAAGCATAGCATTATAGCTAAATGTTTTTTACCTAGACTCTGTACAGATTCTGTACTGCTGGCTCAAATTCCCAGGAGCCGTTATGGGTAAGAGCAACGGGACAGGATGCTGGGATTTATAGTTGACAAAGATTTGGAAGTTTGATGATCTTTCAGCTGACATACTATTATCACTTCTGCAAAAAATGCAGCTTTCTAGGTATATATATTAATATAAATATATAAACCAACTTGTCCATTTTGAAAACTTTCAGGTATGCTGGATTTCATTTCTCATTTTCTCTCACATACAGTATGTGGAAAGCATTAGGTTGAAGATGCTCCATGGATTAATCTCAACAAATAGTAACCTGTCTTCAACCAAACTTATTTTATCTACAAAAGATACTGTTACATCTTGTTGTTGATATACATGCTATATCTAATTGGACCATGTTCTATGTGATGGCTAATTCAGGAGTTTGGGGAAGAAAAAGGAAATAATTAGGGAACAGATTTATTAAAGTGCTGGCCTACAAAGCAGGAGACAGTGAGTGACTTTAGGCCTGGTAGTCTGTCAGGCTGAACCACTTCACACATAATTCTTTTGTGGAGTATTAGATATGGAGGATGGAGTATTAGATATGTTCACTGCCTTGAGTTGACACATACAGTGAGGTGAATTGTAAAAATCTAACAATAATTGGAAATACAGATACAAAATGAGCTGAGCCACATGGCAAACATCTTCCAACCACTGAGGGAAATACAGAGGGTTACATCTGCAAAATATTGGTATGCTCTTACATATTCCAATTCTAGATGTGTTTTTCCCCCAGGGCTCTCTTTAATGCTCTCCATCCAGCCAACCTGGTGGGTAGACTCTAAAACTTTTCAATAAAACAGCGGTGATTCAAAAGCACACGAGGGCACATATATGTCACTTGTGCAGCGCCTTACATCAAATGCATTTCTCAGCATCATGGTGCAGATGCAGAGAGCAGCCAGGCAACCACAGGGAAAAATGCATTGTTCTAAAGTAGTCCTTTTTCACATTCCATTCCATTGTATCCCACAGCCCTAGCATGCAACACAGGTTCCCTAAGGATAATTATATGTGGAAATCTATTTGTGGCCATGATTTCAGTTTTTACATCATATCAAGTTCCTACATGTGGAACTTTCCTTATGAACTATTAAGAATCAATAGCTCTACATGTACAAAAAAAGGACAGAGCTCTATATGGAGAGCATAGCAGAAGCATTAAACTATTCCAGTGTTATAACAGCTGAATCCAGTGTTATCTGCACATTTTATATTTTCCTCTCAGTCTTATTGCACAATTGTAATAGGTGCCTTTCAAAGGTACAGTCAAAAAGCTGCCTGCAGATACAAAAACCAATCAATCTGGAGATGTTAACAGGGAAGCCACCAGGAGGTTNTTTTTTTTGCTGCAGATACACAATCCCAAAGCAGTTGAAAAAATAACTGAAGAAAAAAGAAAAGAAAGAAGCCATCAATAAAACGAGTGGTGATATCAAAGTATTTACTATTCTGCATAGTTCAGGTATGGACATCTAATAGCTTCCTCTTTGCTCTACCTCGAAGTATTTATAATTCTTGAGCGACAGCTGTCAGATACTATTTCCCAGTTTAAGCCATTCACTGACTAATTCTACATGGGAACAAAAAGAATCTTCAAGGCAAGTAGCTGAATCACTTTTTGTGGACAGAAGCAAGTTGCCAGCCCTTCTAACGCTACCTTCTACTTGATCTGAGAATAAGACTGAATGATTCCCACAGTGTCTCTCTACTTCAATGTTATGAATGCTAGATGTGGGGCCCTCCTTGCAGGCTTATGTGATCATAGCTGCAGGTATCAAGAGAAACAAAGCAATATAGTCTACAGCAGGGCTCAGTTCAATACTGACTAGTATTAGCTGAGTCACTTGATCCTAATAACATTTATTTAGAAATAAAATCTCCCGATTTAAAAAAAACCCTTCATGAAGATAAAACTGCAGTCTTAATTTTAAGCTCATAGTTTAAGAGCTATGAATATTTAAAGAAGAGAATAACCACCATCAAACAGAGAGAAATCACAGAAAATATCTAAACAAGTGCAGAGGAACAGGAGGAATACAAGATCAACCTCTGAATGGCTAGAAGTACCATCCAATATGACCTCCTGTGCAAAACATCAATGTTTCTTGACCTTGTTGGCATCCATTACTCTCTGGCAACCACTGAGGTGCTTCCAGGCATCCCAGATGAGAATAGAGGGAATGATAATCCACAGACCATTCAGAAAGACAAAGTAAAACCAGAAGTAGGTAGGGTGCCACTTCTCACTATGGTGAAAGCCATCACGGTATTCAGTGTAGAAGTACAGAACGTCACCATATAGTTGACCTATGGTTAGAGATAGACAACATGGCTGATTAAAGTAGGAAGAAAAGATCAAAAGTGGACAAGCCAAAAAAGAAATGCAGTCAGGTGTATGGAACATTAACCAAGAATAAAAATATTAAATTAATTGCTTTTGAAAGATTGCATTAACATTTATATATCCTGACATACCCACCTCCCTGTCTTGAATACCTACCTAGTGACACCACTAGCTGCAACACGTATCGATGGGACTGGCGTGAAAGAAATGCGACTGCAGTCCAAAGACTGAGGGGAGTCAAAAAACAGGCAGTGATGGTTTCCATGCAAACTATGAAACTACTTGACCTGCAGATACAAAAATGAAATGAATGTCATCTTGAGGTCCCAAAACATCCCAAGTTTCTTACAGTTCACTACATTCAAACTTGAGGGGGAGAAAGGAGATGATAGACAGACTGACAGTGTTCTGTCCCAGCCTATGTCCATCCTTGTTACTTCACAGGACAACCCCTCTTTTAACAGTAGAATGGGAAAACCAATCCTTTTTATTTGATTTACAGTTCAGATAATTTTCCCTCAAAACAAAAACAACAAGAATATTTTTCCAACCGATAATTGGTTCAAAAGCAAAACAGAGCAGGAGTTAAACAAGAAATAATTCACCGGTAAAACAAACAGACCATGATCCCTTGACACTGAAGTTTTTTGCAAATGGTTGCCTCCAGCAACCAGCCCTGCCCACACATTCTCTTTTTGTTGCGCAGCCCCCAAAGCATGGTTTCTCACTGCTTCTCCTCCTGCCTACGTTTATCTCTGAGTTCTTCCAGGTGTGCTTCCTCAGAGTCTGACTCATCCTCCCACCACACCTGGCTTTCAGTTTGATCACGAGTGGAGGAGCCAAGTTCTTCCTCACTTCCTAAGTCTTGTAACTCATCAGAGCCCTCCTCCTCCTCTGATGGCTCCCCAGGCCCCTCCTCCTCCTCTGATTCCCCGGACTCAGCTGCTGGGATCACAGGCTGGCAGGGAATCACAACAGACAGATACCAATTTTGGAAAATGTTTTATTTTATTTGATGAAGTAGAAAATGGAATGCACTTCATTCAAAGCCATGAAATGCAGGAATTCTTTTAATTTTGTTGTACTCGCCCTATTAAAAAATT